TGTTCCTATCATCGTGGCCCTGTCCAGCCCCCCCTCCATCCTCGTGGTCTCAACTAGACTCACACTCTCCACTGTTCTAGAGGGATATTTCTAGAGTTTGAGTTGTCAATACTCAGTAGTAGGGGATCGACGCCATGGACAAACGAGCAGTTAGATTGTACCCTCATGATAACCAAGGCTTGTGGGCTTGTAGTGGCCCTAGTTGGTGATTCTGTAGTGGGGTCTCACTCGGATGCTGACTGTCGGGCATCGATGGAGTCCACAGTATGTAGGCCCTTCGAGGACTATATGGCCACTGGAGGGGCCAGCGTGGTCGGGTTGGTCCATGTAGGCCTTGGGAGGAAGGGCTCTTTGGGTGTAGTCGTTGGGGCTTCAGGCCGTTTCTGCTGTGGAGAACGTTTGTGCTGAGCAGCTCTACGGATCGTCATCATCGACTTGTGGAGTGAGTGATAATTTCGTGGCGCGGTGAAACTTCCTTGTTGGTTTCGGCAGTGCCCCCACCTACTGGAGAGCATCCAGCCCAGCCACTTCTATGAGTTGACCGGCGCCCTGGCCATGTCTTCCTCTTCAGTCGTAGCTTCCGAGACAGCCTCCCATCGGCAACTGACCACAGCAGCGGTAGGCCGGGAGGAGGTGGTGCTCGTCACTGGCGATGGTATGGCAGGTGGTCATGGGGAAGGTCAGGCTGCCCTACCCAGTGGTGATGGACCCAAGTGGTCGGACCTCGATGGATGGTATAAAGGACGCTATGTGAGACCCACTGTATGAGGGGAGGTGATGGTGCACATACGGCTACAGGGCCCATGCTCTGGCGGCTGCTGGCTTCAATCCTGTCTACACTATTATCCGAGATGTTGCTAAGGATGGCCTCTTTGCCCAGCTGGTCTTCTCGGTACGGCCTCCTTCTGGATGAGTTGATGCTCACCTCAGACCGAGCCGATACATGTCCCTGTTGGTAGTGGCCTCACACCAGAGCAGCACGAGGAGATGGCCAGGATGGCCTATAGGGCCCTACATGTAGGGTAGAGGGGATGATGAAGGGCCTGGAAAGATCCTGTAGGAATGCTTGGACGAGCTCATGCCCCCGTCGACTGGGGAGACTCCTTTCCAACTGGACGTGTTCCGGGGATGCCCTCTGGATGCCTCTCCCATGGAGGTCGAGGGGGAGATAGAGATCCTGAATGCTGAGCCCACTCTGGGGTTCCGGGATAGGGTCGGTGGTCGGTTACTGTGGGTCGTTCAGGGGGGGGGGCTTCTTTACAGGTTAACACTGTACTGCGGCAGGCGCTGTCAGAGGACCTCGATCTCACCTTTAGGAACGGTAGGCTGACTAGGCCCGGCAGGGGGGACGGTGATGGTGGTGTGGTAGGGGTCACTGGAGAGGACATGACGGTAGCCACCAGTCCACGAGGCACCATTGTGGCCCACAGCTTTGCCGGGAGCTTGGTCAGGTGATGGGTACTTAGGCAAGAGACGGGGCATGATGGGGTTTCAGTTTCACCATCTACACTGATGCCAATGGTGGAGGCCTCCGACCGCATCTGGACGTCCTGGCCGACCTGAGGGACCTGAGGAGGCATCTGGCCGCGGCTGGTATCAAGAGTGTGATCAGAGTTAATGATGTCCGCAGCCTTGGTGGGGTCACCTACAACACCAAGCGGGTGGGTTGGGGTTGAGCGTGGGGGGAGTAGTGGTGGGCTGTAGGTCCTCTACTCCTATTGTCATGGGCTCGGGGTCCTGACCAGGGCAACTCCTCGAGAGGCCTTGGTCCCACCGGAGATGGCATGGGATAGAGAGGCTACTCAGAGTGCACTGTTTGGTGAGATCGTGAAGGCCCATTATGGCCAGGAGAAGGACGGCGGTGAGCCAAGTGTGCTGATGGAGATGGGTCGTAGAGAGGATGGGGAGGAGGAGGAGGGGCTGCCGGAGGTGGATGATGGGCCTGAAGGGAGGGTAGATGAAATGCCCGAGGCTGGAATCGAACCAGGGATCTCTGATGGAGAGAGCGCGGAGGACAGAGTGATGGATGCAGTATTTGGTAAGGAGGAGTCCCCTGAGGAGGACTCACCCTTGAACCCTGTGGTCCCCGACGGGATGGACGAGGATGGCCGTGAACCTGAGACGGGAGCCGGCATGGGGGATAGAGATCCCGAGCCAGAGGAAGGGGTCCAGGAAGACCCTCCGGGGGCACCCGAGGAGGAGGGGTCCTCCGCGGACCAGCCATGGTCCCCCAACCCAGCTGATGTTGGGCAACCATCGCAGCCTCAGCCCGGTTCTCGAGTGCCGAGGGTCCGAAGTGGCGAGTTGAAGGGCATGGCTACTACAATGGGAGGAATGAAGTCACCGGTGTTGCCGTACAGGCTTACCCCCGGTCAGCGCACCTTCAAGATGCCCATCGTAACGCATGTGGCGGGGTAGGACCCTCGTGTGTCTATCGGCTGAGCTCGTCATCACATTCAGGGTGGTCCACTATGCTCCTCTCTTCGCCCCTCATCCCTTCCAACCCCGTATCCTCTTCCATCCGCCGGCACCACATCCCCCTAGGGCCATGGTCCTCCAGATGCCCTCAGCGGTGGGCTCACCTTACAGGCTGCCGACTAGACCTCCTCATAGCAGCGTATCGGTGGTGACCACGGCAGAGGCATCCTGGCCTAGGGAGTAGGTGGGGGGTGAGAGGTGGGGGACAGGTCCCCTTGGGCAGGCCCAGACGGAGGAGTGTGCCGTCGATGATGATGTTGCCAACACAGCTCAACCGGAGTGGTAGACCGATGGAGGCTGGGGAGCTTGAGTAGGGTGGGCTGGGTGATGAGGGAGGTGATGACCCCTCTCAGACATAGTGGAGTCCCTCATGCGGTAGAGTATAGGAATGTGCTGGCCCCACAGGAGGCGGACTTCGTGGTGGGCCGCATAGGGAGGGTGGGCAGTGGTCTTGTATTGGTACTGATGATGACTATGTTGTGGGCCAGTTCCCTGAGCCGGCTCTGGAGACTGCTCTGACCTGGGTGGACAAGATGGCCCTCTCGACGGTGGAGGGGCTGAGGGAGAAGATGGAGCATGTAGGTGGTGACCCTCCTCCTTCTCCCGGGCCTGTGGTGGCCTCAGCTTTACAGCAAGTACCCGAGCACGGCAAACACGAGGGCCTTCGCTCGGTTTGTTAAGGATGGTCTTTTCGAAGGGGACATAAGGCCCATCAGGACCATGAGGGGCCTTCGGAATGCCATCAAGCACGTCAGTGAGAGTAGGACCATCCCAGTGCATGTGGGAGTATACTGTTGGGCGTCGTGGTGGTGGTCAGTCTTTCCTCGGTTCGCCTCCTTCCGTGCTGGAGTGGCCACCATACTGGACTCGTGGATCCTCCTCCTGACCTCTCCAGATAAGCACACGTTGGTCTCGGTGAGGAAGCTGCTGAGTCGGTCGTGGTGTGGAGCATCGGTCAGCTCTTCCGAGAGGCCCCGTCGGAGATCTATGCCCTAATGGACGCCAATGGGGACGGCCTCATCTCTTTTGACGAGTTCACAGCCTTTGGCCGTACCATTGCCGCACCCTCATTCGTCTTTTCTAGGGAGGTAGGCAGGGACTGATCGGTAGGCCGAACTCAGAGGCTTTGGGCCTTCTGTCCCGACCAGTCAATATGGCCGAGCTTTTCACACTCAGCCGAAGTGCCTCAGGCCTTCGAGGGGATGCTGTCGGAGGAAGAAGGGGAGAGTGTTCGAGTGCAGGACTTCGAGGAGTTGTATAGGACCATCGCCCAGGGGAGGCAACAGTGGTCGAGTTCTCCTTGCCATGAGTGGTGGTCTGGTCAGATTGAGTGCCTCGATAGCGGACAAGGCGGTCCAGTTGGTGATGGACTCTCTCACACTCGAAAGCCGTTTCTCGGACCTGGATGGGGGCCGCCACAACGACCTCTCGCTGGAGGACATCGGCTGGAAGGGTCCAGTGGGGGAGGCTGTAATGGGACCGTGACCACACGGAGGGGGGCGGCCCACCGTCTTTCCTCAGCTCTTCTTCTACCTAGACTCCAACAGAGACGGCGTCTTGTCTCGTTATGAATGGCAAAGGCTGGTGATCATCCATCGGGCACCGTTGCTGGTCCGCCGTTTCGCCTTGTGGTAGGCGGCGGTCTTGGCCCATCGTGGGGGGAGTGGCGGTCCCTGCTCTTTAGGGTGGCGCATAGGGTGGGGGACAACCTCCTGCCATACTCGGTAGAGCCTTTTGTGACTCGGGCTAAGGAGCGTCTAGGGAGCATGCCCGAGAGGTATGTGCCGGTTATCAAGGGGGCTCTGGACTCCTTAGGAGCTGGTGAGTAATGGCCCTCGGGGATAGTGGAATGATGTGGTGTGTAGGTGAGCCGTCGGATGGTGACTACGGCCTCTTGCGAGCCATGGCGGGCGGTAACGAGATGAACAACTTGGTGGCCACGGAGTTCTATCTGGGTTATGGTCGCCGCCCGCGACTCACCTCGAAAGCACTGGGCGCGGATCATCGAGGGAGGCGACATCACCGAGGCCATCACCATCACCACCACCATGGACCGACTTCCTCCTTTCTTGAGGAAGGACCACAGGTGGGCATAGGTCATGGGTCCTAGCCCTCCTCGCACGGCTCTTGTGAGGGTTTAATGTGCTCAGTGGAGTCGTCTGCCATTGGAGTACAGTCTGAGGAAGCTCTCACCGACGACTCGAGTCAGTGCTAGGGACTTTGCAGATTTCGGCAAGTCTATAAAGGCCCCAACCGCTGTGTTTTCTCGGACTGTGAGGAGGGGGTCACTGTGTGGCCTACGAGTTGGAATGCCTATGGCAGGCCTACGACCTTCTGGAGTATCCTTCTGGTCGGGACGCTGAGGACCTACTGTCTACCAAGAGTGATGTGTTGCATGCTGTATCGAAGGACCTTAGGTAGGAGGACGAGGAGGCGGGCTTGGTTATAGGAGTCCCCCCAGTAGGGTACTCAGTGACCGCGCATAGGTATCTTAGGTTATTCCGTGGTTGATACGGATGAGGTTGGGAAGATATCATAGTACAGGGTGTTAATTTAATAAGGGCCATCCCCTGTCTATTGTGACAGAGTTAGGACCTCAGATCCGTACTGCTCGAAAGCTCTCATCGTGGCATATACTACGCTTGTTCGTTGGGGTGGGTTGATGATGTACTTGTGATACTGGGGAGTCCTAAGAACAATTCTGGCTTTGTTAGGGCTCCCAGGGAATTGACGGGGCCTGATGATCTTCTTGATAAATGCTTTCAATATCACCCCATCCATCGCCTTCCCTCAGGAATCACCGTCGTATTCACCTCATTCTGGACTCCCTAATATTGGGCCAACGTTTCAAGGAGTTGGATGCCAACGGTGATGGAGAGCTCTCGTTGAAGGAGTTGGGGCTGGGAGCAGCTGATCGAGCGGTGAGGTTTGGTCAGGGTGTGGTATCGAGCCTATTTGGAAATGTGGCTTTGATAGTCTCCTGATTATGCTGAATTGCTTGGCCCGGGTAAAGGGCCTCTCAGGGGCTGATGATCTTTAGGAGTTCCCGTAACTGATGTTGTTTATGCAACAGTTACCTTTCCAAATTACTTCGTTCCCTCTCCTTCTGTGTATTATGATCTCGGGATGCTGTATGCGGTTAGGTCTTTGCTGTGGTGGACCTGGACGGCTCCAACACGTTATCTTTGGGCGAGCTTCAGAGGTTGGCTGCCTTTGGAGAGGACATGGTCCCTGCTAGTGCGATCTTATTGGCTCAGAAGTAGGTGGGAGGAGGTGTCTTTCTCGGGTGCTGTGGCCGTTGCTCAGAGTGCAAGCTAAGGCGGACGGCCCGGTAGAGGCCTATGTCGCTGCCGCTATGCGGGCCATGGAGGGCTTCACGGGTTTTGAGAGTGCCGAGATAGGGGAGCTTCTTGATTTTGATGACGATGGTAGGCTGGGGGCATGGGGCGATAGAGAGGGGCCGTCCTCAGGCTACATCGACCATCGTGAAATTGCGATGCTGAGGGTCTTGTCGTTGCCCCAAGGGGTGGCCAAGTATCTGCCACAGTCAGCTTATGTGATGGATAAGATTGACGTCGGCGTTGGATGGGCCGAGGAGGACTTCACCAAGATGGGCTTGGGCCTGCAGGCCAACCGTCGAGCCTTCTCCCATAAGGTGGGACGTGCGTCTCTTTGGTCGTCATCGTCGTCGATGGTCCGGTCAGAGCTTTGAGTCGCTGGCCCAGTTATGGGACGGGAGGATACCGAGGGAGGCTGTGGAGGTGTGGATGAACGCCGTTCGCCACAAGTGAGGGGGCAGCGGGTGGTAGGGTAATGGAGATAATTTCGTGGCGCGGTGACGCAGGCGGTTATGGCGGCTTCTGGCGGTCTTCTCTGCGGTGAACACGGACGCCTTCTTCACGGCATTCGATGGGAATAAGGACGGCAAGCTGAGTGACGATGAGCTTCGACGCTGGATGGGCAATTTTCCCTTGGTCAGCCTCGTGACGGTAGGTCCCATGGGGGAAGGGGCGCCAGAAAGGGTTGCTGGGACAGGTCCTGGAGGTCCTGGGCCAAGGTGAAGGCGACCAGAGGGGTATAACCCGAGAGGGGCTACAGAGGTTCTCCTTTCTCTTCGCGGTCGGCCCAGCTGTGAAGCTACTAGCATTGAGGTGAGCGTTGATGGGGGGGAGGGGCTGATGCCGCCTTCGGCAGTATCCCACGGTCGGCCGCCGCCCCAGAGAAGTTCGTGGAGGAGTTCTCCACAGTGTTGGCACGAGTGAAGTCCCCTCGGGTCCGGGCGAAGATTGTCCATGCTCTCGATCTGGATGGCGATGGTGAGGGCCTCCGTGGGGCCGCTGGAGCATCAGCGCCCTTCCATGTAGGTGAGCTTAGCCGAGGGGAGATCCTTGGTCTCCGAGTTCTGCATCAAGCAGAATTCCTCCTCCTCCTTGAAAGTCTCCTCCATCACGGCTTCGCTACCATCACTGAGGCCAAGGCCAGTAGCTTCTTGGAAGAGGCCAGGAGCTCGGAAGTGGTAGGGTTAGCTGGCCCACTGTCGACCTGATGTTATCGAGGTGTGCAGGTGTTAACGGAAGGCTATGCTGAAGGAGCCTTCGTGGAGCTGGACTCAGTGAGGGCACGGTCGGCTGGGTAAGGTCATGGTTGGCTCAGGTCTATCAAGTGCTTGGTCCGAGTGCCCACCATGGCCGTAGGAATGTAGGATGGATATGGACGATGGGTCTTCGCAATTGGGACTGTCGTTATCAGGGGCATCATTCGCAGTGGTCCCGGCGGTCGGAGGGGAAGAGGAGGAAGGGAAGGAGGCATCAACGGGAGAAGAAGGGCAGCGATGGCAGCGTGAGGGAGGCCCCTGATCAACAACACGGTGGTGGTATTGCCGAGGCTCGGCCGTCACGGGGGAGTTTGGCGTCAGAGGCGTCCGCATTGATGGCCGCAGCGGAGGGTATGGGCGACGGACGGCACGAGGAAGGGGTTATTGATGGTGTTGGAAGGGACCACCACAGAGACGCGGCTGAGGAGGTGAAGCCAGACCATGCAGAGGACCATAACAGTGAGACCGTTGAAGAGGTGAAGCCAGACCATGCAAGGGACCATTACAGTGAGACCGTTGAGGAGGTGAAGCCGGACCATGCAAGGGACCATTACAGTGAGACCGTTGAGGAGGTGAAGCCGGACCATGCAGGGGACCATTACAGTGAGACCGTTGAGGAGGTGAAGCCGGACCATGCAGGGGACCATTACAGTGAGAGTACTCCAGAACAACGAGTTTCAAATGAGTCTGTGGAGTCGGGCCAAGAACCTCCCCGTCGGGACGGCTCAACTCAGGATGCAGCAGGGGAGGGCACTACACCCAGGTCGGGGACAGCTGGGGTCGGAGAAGGAAGGGAGGCGGCCGTTGATAATGCGGGTGATGAGGAGTTGCTGGTCGATGAGTGGGAGGAGGAGGATAAGGGGGGCGAATATGGAGCTGACCATCAGGGGGGCCACCAGAGCAGAGACAACAACACATGGAGCATCTCAATGCACGTAGGCCTGTTGATGGAGGGGTGACAGCAGATGACTTCATCACCTCTTAGGAGTATCCCTCAGAAGGCTTTGAGAAGGTCACTGGGCAAGCCCTAGGGGGCACGGTATCGGTCGAGGAGTTCCAACAGACTGGTGTACGGCTTGGGGTCAGTCAGGCCTATACTAAGGAGGTGGACCCCTTCACTACAGCCCTTTATACTCTCCCGCATAGGTGTTCAGTCTTATGGCTGGCAAGGACGCCTCGGTGCTGCCAGTTGGCCACTACGCTGACCTTTATCGTAGCTTCAAAGACGTCCGGTGGGGACGGCCCCGGTCTAGCATGTTGGTCACTGGGGCCTCTTAGGAATCTGGCAAGGGTATTTCATATTCTGGACTCCATTAAGATGGAGATGCGTTTCACCGACTTGGACCTCCATCGAGACGGCTTGATCTCGTTATCGGAGTTTGGGTGTGGCGAGTGCAAGTCCGATACGGTATCGGAAGAGGAATGTGTAGGTTGGGCGGAGCGGAGCAGTCAGTGGAGCCATCTGCTTAGATGGCCGTTGGGGAGCTCTTCCTGTACGTGGCCGATGGTCTCAATCAGTCGTCAATTGCCCGACGGAACTGGCAGAAGCTCGTTCGGGTGGATGCGGACACCATACCCCCAGCGGTGGCTGTGGTGTTGGAGGGGTGAGGAGGAGGAGGCCTGCTGTGGTGGGGGGACTGGATGCGTTGACTTGTCAGCATGGGAGAGGTACCAAGGCAGGCCACCAACGAGGAGTTCATAGAGAAGTACATGGCGGAGGCTGGTAGGTACCCAGGTGCCCGAGAGGAAGCAGGGGCGTTTCTTGATGACGAGACTGGTGGGCCCCCTAGGGTAGATGGGGGTGACGCTACTGTCGTGTGGCAGGCCAGAAGCGCAACGTTGGCTTTGTAAGGGTCGCGGCTGCAGGACCACGACTGGCCGGCTTCCTACCGAGTTCCTTCGATTTCACTCGGAATTTATCAACGCTTTTGAAGTCTGGCGTCAACAGGTTGGACGAAGAGACCTTTGAGGAAATCGGCAGACATGCGGAGGTTGCAGGGGATTGGTTTAAGGCTAAGGTGCCCCCTTAGATTGAGTGTGGGGATGAGAGGTCCTTTGTAGTCCTTTGGGGCCCTCCTCTTCCCTGTAGGGGAGACTCTGCCGGTTGACTTTCTGGACACGTATGTAACGGCTAGGCGAGGCGGGTAGGCCTCGGTCGCCTCTGCTGTGGTGCTGCTGATAGCTGGTGTAGTTACCTCTATGACTTGGGGGCCTCCCTCGGGGCCATTAGTATGGCGGCGAGGTTCGATGCCATTGACATGGACGGTGATGGTAAACTGACCAGAGAGGAGCTTGAAACCAGGGAGTGGAGGAAGTCTATTGCGGGAACGATGGTGAGTTGTTATGCCTCGAGTGAACATTATTAGAAATGCTCAACTTTTCGTCGCACTATACAACAGCTCGTGTGCAACACATAATGATTAGTTGAAATGATCAACATAGCATCCAGTTGACTCGCAAACGATTAAATTCACAGTCGGAGATTAATGAGGATTTCAATGCCCAGAGTGGTTAATAAGATGTTGGGTGTTTGCATTGAGTCAGGGCCAAAGCGTAACAAGGTAAGTAGGCCGATCCATAGTCTCTCCATATGGGAGGTCAGAATAGGAATTCATCATATCAATGATAGAACCATGAAGGAACTATCACACCGATTAATATGTGTCTGCGTGCAGCCTCGTTCGGTTGTGAAGTGACGGAGGAGTGGTATGAGCTTTGACGTTGAGGAATTTTGAGATTTCGAGCGTGTCTCCTTGTGCAACGAAGCATGATCCTCCTCATGCATGCCTTTTTCAGTTGTTTGCCCTCCTCGACCTCGACCGTGACAGCAGCATTAGTCGAGCTGAGTGGCAGCATTGGGGTTATCTTGTGGCCCAGGCCCGACCACATATGCGGGCTCTGGCTCTGAGGATTCTACCGGAAGTGAAGATCTCAGCGAGCGAGTATGCTGCGAGGTATAGGGCTGCAGTGAAGGGCTTGTCGCCGGATGAAATAAAGCTGGTGGAACAGCGTCTGGATTTCGATGCCGACGGTGGGGATTGAACCTGGGTCGTCACTATGGAAGTGTCTCGGTAGGTGAGCTGTCCGAAGCCGAGATCGGCCTCCTGCGGGTGGTCGGCGGCGGACGGTCTTTGAGGGAGCTCCTCTATAGGGAGCTCTTCTTTGGTTATGAGATTGTCAACACCGGTACGGGGGCTGGTCAGTCCTTCCTACAGGAGGCGGCCATTGAGGATGATCGGACCCTCAATGGCTTCATGGTGGGTCGATAGGGATCAGATTGAGGGCACGAGAAGATTCCCCTCAGGGCCGTGTTGGAGCCCTACAGTCGCCTTATATAGAGTCGGCACGGTTCGCCTTCCAATTCTTGGATACTGATAGTGATGGACAGCTCTCGGATGTAGGGACTCAACTGTTTGCGACAGTGTTGAAATATATGTTCGCTTTCCGCAGCTAAGCTTAGGAGTTTTCTCACTGATCATAGGGGTTTGTATACGAATCCGGGTAGAAATGAACAGAAATCAACAAGAATTTCCCAAAATTTCCTCAGAATTTTCCTATTGTCACCGACATATGTGGTTGACTATGTGCATGTTTTTCACACTGGTTTCCATTGGTATGGTATGGCCTTGGTAGAACGAGACGAGGGAGTTCGAGCTCATGCGGATGCTCTTTGCTGACTATGGCTTCCTCCGCTTCATAGCGGACTTCACGGCCTTGACTGCTTTCAAGGTGGGCTGCCCGGTCAGGGTGAGCTCCGACTGGTCCTACTGTGTGACAGAAGCTGAAGGGCCCAGCGGGGGGACTGTCGCTGAAGGGGCTCATTGACTCAGCCAAGGCGGGGGACTGCACTCCAACTGAGCTGGCACTGGAGATCCATGATGTAGGGGGGTCCTGCCGTGCGTGGGAGGGATTTCTGGTAGGCCTTCGAGATCGACCTGCCTGATGGTACGGTAGAGGTTCCCTGGGCCATCTGGAGGCTGATTGTGTGGCGGCACCTCACCAACGAGCATGTGAGGCTCCGTGGGGGCGGCTATTGGTAGCAGTCCTCAGACGGTGAACCAGCTGGAGGGCCGTTCCCCGTTCGCGACTAGGGATAAAGAGGACTATCATCATACTGCTCATGCCAGGAGGCGTATGCCCCACCCGCCACCCCACGTCAGTCGGCGTGTACATGCCCCACTTGGCCCTGAGGTTGGACATTAGTGACTATCTCTTTGGCAGTTTGTCTTTAGGACGACGCTTTCCTGCGAACTTTGATGGGCGTAAATTGAAGTGTGCCATGATGGCCTCCTCCTCCTTCTCCTCGAGGGGTGGGCACAGTCGTACGCTTTCTATAATGGTTATGGTCGTTGTGTTGAAGTCAATGAATACCATTTATTCTCATTGCAAAGGGGGGCCTTGGGTTATCATATGTTAGAGAGAGGCAGCACGCTGTTAGTGAAGGCGTTGGTGATAGCAGTGGCAGCTGGGGTAGATCGGACACGATGCGCGTTGGACATGAGGGCATCGGTGTGCGAACCGTACATTGGCTACTATCAGAAAGGGGTTAGTGATGTCTCACAGTTGGTTGAGGTAAGCCTTGAGGCCTATAGTGTCCCCAGCGTCCTCATCAGATCGTTGAGGTAGCGGCCAGGGTATGTGCCGACTACCAGTACGACCTGTTGTCCTACCCTCAATGCGGAGTAGGGCTGCTGCTAATGTCACATGTCTGCTGTCCTCTGTATCTGTGGCCTCTCAGTGCGGTGCCCTCATGGAGGAGCTTCAACCGGCGAGTTTCATCCAGCTGGTCAACTCCTTCGCGCTCGCCCCACTGCCAGCGTTGAGGTCTCTGCCCTTCACCCGACGGCCGTCTTCGGTGGGCGCCTTACTGTTGGGATAGGGCATCTTATATCGTGTAGGCGATCGTGGGGGAAGTGAGGCTCCGTCGGCCCCTGGGGTGGACCTGGCCGCCCATGGAGACGGTGAAGTCTGCAATGTGACCCCGTGCCGATGGGGGTGGGGGCCTCCTATATTTCCCTTCAGATTGCGCGCACTGGTGGCTGCTGGTTTTGATGAAGATTATACTGTTGTCTACGAGATCAGGAGAGATTCTCATGGGCTGGTCTTCTCGGTAATAACGCCTCGTATGAGCATGGTGGGATGCAGCCCCCTTAGGCGGACAGGCGGACACCACATGGCGAGGCTGCTGAGGCCGAAGCGGCTAACAAGGCCAGCTGGGCCGTCCATGTGGGGGGTCTATACTCTCGATGGGGTCGAAGCTTACCTGCTGGCTTGTCAGAACGCTCTAGCGGCACTGACGGTGGGTGGTACCCCTGCCTTCGAGGTGGAGGTCTTCCGAGGGTCATCATTGGACACGTCCCCATTGGAGGTGGAAGGGGACATTGAGATCATCAACTGGAGGGACACCATGAGCTTCAGGCGCACGGTACTCGCTGCTGCTGGTGACCCCTCCACGCTGAGTGGTTGCTTAGGTGGCTCGGATACTCGAGGGGCCAGTACGGGGCGTGGCCGGAAGAGTTCTCCGACATGGTGAGTTGGTTGAGTAACTTGCCTGGTTCCTTCTTGGATGAGGCGGAGGTTCGATCCCCGGCCTCGTCAAGTATTACTTCTACGTAGGTATTACTGGCGATGAAGTTCTCGTGAGCTCCCATAAGGAGGGGATCCTGCTGGCTTATCAAGTGCCTGGACCACACATAGGGTACTCTGGAGGTCGATGGGACCAACTACCGTACTGGTCAGGTTTACAGCGTATGTTGAGGCTGCCTGGGGTGGGACCAGGGCCCATCTGGACATCCTTGATGACCTACACACCCTACAGGAGAGGCTCATGCAGTCGGGGGTTGAGGCCTCCATAAGGGTTCGGGATGTGAGGGTGATGAGTGGGTTGGTGTATAGGGCCAAGAGGGTAGGGCAGGTCTCAATGGGTGGGGTCATGGTCGTGCCTTAGGCCCTCTATTCGTACTGCTCCCATTTGGACCATCGAGGGGTACTGTCGTTTGTGGCCCCAGCCTCGGTGGCGGAGGAGTGGGGGAGGGAGGAGGCTCAGAGTGAGTTGATCTTTAGCATGGTCACGTCCTATTATGGGGTACATGAGGGCGAAAGGAGGCCGGCAGGTCAACCTCGAGATAGAGGAGGGTTGGGAAGGGGCTCGAGGGGACCAAGAAGGGGAAGGCCCAAAGGGCACAAGAAGGGAGAGGAAGGTACTCTATCAGTCTCGAGAGCGATGGCGGTCGATGGTGAGGCCGGGGGGTCAGTTAGGGATACCCTGTATGGTGGCAGCGATGGGGTGGTTGGGGAGGAGGTAGGGCAGGATGAGGGCTTTAGGGTGGCAGAGGGGCTGGGAGGAGGAGCATCGGGGGAGGACGTGCTCGGACATATAGACATACCAGCCGAGGAGGAACTTGCTGATACTGGTTACCACATACCGAAAAGGCCGGAGGGGAGCAATCGAGAGGAGGGCGGTTACCCGGAGGTAGAGGACGGTCATGCGGAGGTAGAGGACGGTCATGCGGAGGTAGAGGACGGTCATCCGGAGGGAGAGGACGGTCATGCGGAGGTAGAGGACGGTCATGCGGAGGTAGAGGACGGTCATCCGGAGGGAGAGGACGGTCATGCGGAGGTAGAGGATGGTCATGCGGAGGTAGAGGACGGTCATCCGGAGGGAGGGGACGGTCATCCGGAGGTAGAGGACGGTCATCGGGAGGTAGAGGACGGTCATCCGGAGGTAGAGGACGGTCATCGGGAGGTAGAGGACGGTCGTGCGGAGGGAGAGGACGGTCGTGCGGAGAAAGAGGACGATCACCTTGAGGGAGAGGACGGTCACCCTGAGGGAGAGGACGGTCATCCGGAGGGAGATGACGGTCACCCTGAGGTAGAGGACGGGCATCCGGAGGTAGAGGACGGTCACCCAGAAGAGGAAGAAAGCCATCTAGAGGGACAAGAAGGCCACCATGAGAAAATGGGTCTTCATGAGGGGAAGAAGCGGCACCGCGTACAAAACGGTCCGCGCAGGTATGTAGGGAATCTCGAGCAAATTGACAGAACTCAGTTGGGCCCAGTCGGGTCCAGTGACCTTCCTAGGTGGGAAGATGTAGCCGATGGTGTGGCCCAATCGGACCCTGGTCAGAGAGAGGGGGGAGTACCGGAGATGCCGGGTGATGGAGTAGCTGACGACCCGGGCCAGACGGTGGATGGTGTTCCCGATGGCCCCTCAAAATCAGGCCTGACTGCTCCTACTCGGGACTTTGGACCAGGCTTCGATGCGGGCCATCCCGAGGAACTCATCCCAGTCGGTCCTGCTAGCGATTTCGGACCAGACTTCGACGCTTACCATCCTGAAGAGGTTAAGCCAGTTGATCCTGCTGAGGACTTTGGACCAGGCTCGGACGCTGGCTATCCTGAAGGACCTAACCCGGTTGATCCCACTGGGGGCTTCGGACCAGGCTTCGAACCAGAGAAGAGGACTCCTGAGGAGTCGGTCGGATCGGGAACAGTCGACGACTTCACATATCACTTTGACGAGGACACCATGGAGGAGGCAGCTCGGTTGCCATCACCACGCTACCCTGTAGATAGTGGAAAAGTTGTGCCAGATGTTGGCCTGGGGTCGGTGGCCAACACTCCGTCAGTCTCCACTCAACCGACAAGGATGCCGGGGAGGGGCCTGAGCAGGCCTCCTGCGAGGTCTAGGCATGGCCAGGATGATTACGATGATACTATTGTGGAGGGGGTAGCGACTAATGCCACCACTCCGATGTCAAGGGATGCTCTAACTAGGCAGCCGGTGGGGGCTCCTCAGACTACGGTAGAAAGGCTGCTCCCTCCGGACCTACTCCCAATAACGAGAGCTGATGTCGAGGACCACCGTGTCACCGGGAGTGAGATTGACCCGGTGGTTCGAGAGAGGGAACTCCACGAACCCGATTTCGGCCCTGGCTTTGGAGTCGACAGTGGGGGCGAGGGTCATGGGCTGCCCGAGCCGGTCCATGGGGAGGATGGGGTCATAGAGGGTGTCGATGATGGTAGGGATGGGGTGCCTGAGCCGGTCCATGGGGAGGAGTGGGTCCTAGAGGGTGTCGATGATGGTAGGGATGGGCTGCCTGAGCCGGTCCATGGGGAGGATGGGGTCATAGAGGGTGTCGATGATGGTAGGGATGGGGTGCCTGAGCCGGTCCATGGGGAGGATGCGGTCATTGAAGGTGTCGATGATGGTAGGGATGGGCTGCCTGAGCCGGTCCATGGGGAGGATGGGGTCATAGAGGGTGTCGATGATGGTAGGGATGGGGTGCCTGAGCCGGTCCATGGGGAGGATGGGGTCATAGAGGGTGTCGATGATGGTAGGGATGGGGTGCCTGAGCCGGTCCATGGGGAGGATGGGGTCATTGAAGGTGTCGATGATGGTAGGGATGGGGTGGCTGAGCCGGTCCATGGGGAGGATGGGGTCATTGAAGGTGTCGATGATGGTAGGGATGGGGTGCCTGAGCCGGTCCATGGGGAGGATGGGGTCATTGAAGGTGTCGATGATGGTAGGGATGGGGTGCCTGAGCCGGTCCATGAGGAGGACACCAGCGACAGGCTTCCGCAGGAGAGGGGTCTCGAGGGAGCTAGCGAGGACATCTTTTCTAAGATGGAGGGCCCTACGAGCTCTACTACTAATCCTCAGCCCGAGAAGGTTGGCAACACTCTCGAGGATGCTGCCGCGGCAGGCGGTAGAATACGTCCCCCTCCAACAGTCCCACCAACCAAGCCAGTATCGAAGGTCATAGCAGTAAGAAGGCACTCCCATAGATTAAGGGACACCAGCAGTAGGGCCATCTACTGTCCGAGCTGTACCAACACCAGCAGTGGCCAGGGGTCAGTGGGTCCTTCTTGGCAGGGCCATGGTCCTTCCATCAGGCCCTACTATGACCCCCTATTCCACCTTCACCCCTTCGCTCCTCGACTGGTCTACAGCAGCCCGGGGACGCATCCTCCCGACTGGGTAGTCATACCGGTGTCATCATCTAGGGATGGGCTACCGAGGGTGGCTGCAGCCTTCCGCCGCGAGTGGGTGCTACTGGTGTTGGGGACATCATCTGTATCTTTCAAGAGTGAACCTATGATACGCCACTGATCAGGTTGGGAAGGTCCGGTAACAGCGCTGAAGGCTCTAGCAGCTCTCACCCACCACTGCCGGAGCATGCCCGTGGGGAGACCATGTAGGGGTCACGTCCGCTGCCGTTGAGGAGGGCTGACGTAGGTACGACGTATCCGAGCCTCGAGAGCCCACACCCTCTGATGGGGAGTTCGTAGTGGGTATGAGAGGCTTCGTAAGGGGGTCGGCCCCTCCTCTAGCATTGTGATGCTGGTGTCAGGCTCCTCCTGGTAAGGGTTGCCTCAGTAGGGTCATGCAGTGGGTCGACAACTCCACCATCGCTAAGTTGGAGGGGCTGCGTTCCTTGCTGGCAGAAGTGGGGGCCGCGTTTGGGCTCGTGTGAATGGGAGTCCATCAGGTGTATTCGATGGAGGCGCCGGTCCATGACCAAGTAGCTTTCGGGGCCTTCGTGAGGAGAGGCCTGCTGGGCGAGGACCCTCACCTTACCACCTTCCATAGGCTATACCAAGGCATCGAGCACCTTCGAGGGCGTAAGGGGTGCTTTGTTCGGGGTCTTGGTGGTTTACGGTCCTTTGGCAGTCCTAGACACTGGGGAGCCTCTCAGAGAGGGCCTAGCCGCGGTCCTGGATGCCTGGGTGTTGCTGCTTAGGGCACCGAGGAAGCTACCAATACTCAATGTGGGGTCGTTGATGACGATGTCCGACCACTGGAATGCCCTCAGCTTTTCCGGAATGCTCCTGTCGATGT